CACACACACACACACACACACACACACACACACCCCAACAGTCCCCATCTGCTCCCAATCACGGGTGCAGCCAGCGGTCATGTTGCTGACGATGAATGGTGCACAGGCACGCGCTAACACACACACGTAAACATACACAACATATGCATGGTATGAGGTCAACTATACACACACATATAGACCGATATACACACACACACGCACACATACAGATCAATATATACACACAGGCACATATGCACACACCTGCACACACACACACATCATGATAGACATACATGCTCCTATATGTAAATTGTATAAATAATTATAAGTAGATATTTTTGTATTATTTTGTTATTATATATTATTAGTATTGATTTGTTAGAGATGTGTCAAAATTGTAGTCAGGAACACTGAGGTGAAAAACGTTACATTCACCAAAGAAAAAGACTCGACCGAAGCTCAGATTTAAGACAGACCACAGAAGGTCTCACTGAGCTCCCACAGCTTTTTGGCCACAGCGTCATCTCTAGCCTTCGCAGTGATGTTGAGCTCTGGGGCGCACTCTGAGAAGAAATGGCCGCTGAGATGTTCGATGCCTTGCTCCAGGGCACAGTGGAGTGTGGTTTGACATCCAGACTCAGCATCTTTACTGATAATTTGGGAAAAATAGAAGAGGATCTTCCACCAGAAGCTGAAGTTACGAAAAATCTCTGTCTTCACATAACCTGGAGGGAAAAGAACCCAAGAGACAAGACATTTACTGAGAGTTAATGGAAGACCATCACTGCCAGAGGAGAAATGTTAAATGTGTGGAACAACAAAATCACAATCATATTGATTGATAATTCTTCATCACTTGTCATAGTGAAATTCCCTACAGGCAGTCCCTATATGTCATTATCACTGTAACAGAAGGTCGCTGTGACCTTGAGCTTTGGCCTCCAGGCACCAAAATCGAATCAGTTCATCTTTGAGTCAAAGTTAATATTTGAACCAAATTTGAGAAAATTCCATCAAGGCACTCTTGAGATACCGCGTTCATGTGGCGGGCGGACGGGTGGACAACTCAAGAACATCTTGCCGTGGAGACATAACAAGCAACAAGCAAACATGTGAGACGAGTTGAAGTGTCAGTGGTGGAGTGCTGCTGTGAACTGACCTGGGTGGAGACTGTAGCATGTGACGTCGCTGCCTTGCAGCCTCTTTGCCAGCTCGTAGGTGAAGAGGTTGTTGCACAGTTTGCTGTGGCTGTATTTACAGAGGAGCTGGAAGTCGTTACTGCCCACAGACAAATCTCTGTGAGTCCTCAGAAAGGTCAAATCCACCTTCCCAGCCTCAAAGGCTTTGGAGGACACGTTCACCACGCGGCTCGGTCCACTCGCCTTCAGCCGGTCCAGGAGCAACACCGTCAGCAGGAAGTGACCCAGGTGATTGACTCCGAATATCATCCCAAAACCGTCCTCCGTCTTCCCAGAGTTCAACAGGCCTGAAGACCGAAACACCAGAAATACACTGAACACAACACAAAACTTTCATTCTAAGAGTGGAAGAAATCCCACATATACATATATATCTAAGTATACATCTAGATATACAGTATGTATTTGCGCACAGACACACACACACACACACACACATAGTGCTGTTAAGCGAGCAGAGTAATAACAGAGGCCTGACCTGCGTTGTTGATGAGAAGATCCAACCTGGATTCCGACCGCAGGAAGTTGTCGGCGAAGGATCGAACGGACTTCAGACTGGCCAGGTCGAGCTGCATGAAGATCACCTGTTTGTTCTGAGTCTCCTGATCACGACGCGGATGGAAAACCAGTTTCTCATTAGATGGTTTCCAGCTTTCACAGACGAGTGTTGTGTTTCTCAGCTGTGTTGTTTTCATACGACAAAACGCACTTCTATCTATCGCTAATGAAAAGAAATGAGGAGCTTAACTTGGCGTGAAAAGCTGTGAATCATCAGCATAACAATGAAGATGATGGTAGTGAATATTATCAGCAGGCGATTACATACTAAATGTAAAAGAGAGAAGGAACTAGGATGGAGCCTTGAGGTACACCAGATGTTATGAAACGTCAGACATATCACTGGCTGTACAATATGAGGAAGAACATTTTCTGTTTGGTGACTAATGATGTCAAGTAAAGTGATATGAACCTAAATCTAAATATTTGGGGTATATTCCTGACCCCTGAGCTCTTGCGTCCTCACCTGGATGATTTCCTGGACGGCTGCCTCAGCTCGCCGTCTGTCCCGGCAGGCGAGGATCACTCTGCCCCCCCTCCTGGCCAGGTCCATCGCCGTGGTCTTACCGATGCCAGTGTTGGCTCCTGGAGAAGGACGACAGAATCAAGGAGGGAAGATTTGTTGAAGTCATGCTTGAGACATTGCTCGACTGTAAATCTACCAGTTTGGTCCTGATTTGAATATCTCAAAAACTGTGACTATAGTAAAGTTTGGACATGAATGAAGCCCAGACAGCAGTGTCTGTCCTCTGTCACCATCAGGATTTACGTTGGATTTGTGGCTGATGTTCGGACGCTGAGAACAGATTATTAGTCAGGATGTTTTTGTCTCCTTCAGTTTGACATCGCATAGTGTCTAAGTAAGTGTTAGACATTTAAATTCTGTTTAAGAGCAATTTCAATGAGCTTTTGTCTATTTTGGCACAAAAGTCGAGCTTGAGCTTCTCATTCTCAGCCGCGGAAACATCTGGAAGCAGCTGTTCTTGATCTCCTGCTGCAAATACTTTTGGACTCTGTAGTAAGCATCTGTTGTGAAGAATGAAATTTTCATCTCAAATCCAAAACCCTTGATTTGGACACACTTCTAAAACGCACACGCTGCTCCTAAATGGTTGAAATTCCTGGGCAAGTTATAACAGGGATATGAAGAGTTTTGTGGAATCTGAGCATCTGCACTTTCATAATCTAAAGTAGTTTAAAATGTTTTCAAGCCTTCTGATATATTTGCCTTTGAAAAATATCATTATTATCAATATCACTCACATCTCTAGTTCTGTCCTCAGATAAAAAAAAAAGCAGTTTCCAGTGTGTGCATGTTTGCTACAGTTAATCCTGTGGAGGCAGTTCTCAACTCACCTGTGATGATGACCGTTTTCCCGTGTAACTTTGCACTACTCTTACATCTGAGCCTCTTGACAACAAAGACAAAATAAAGTGCTCCACCCAGCAGCAGCAGCAGCAGCAGCAGCAGTAGCAGAAGCAGCAGCAGCAGCAGCATCCTGACTGTAAAAAGTCAAACTACAGACGCTGAGTGAAAGAGGTGAAGTGTGAGTGAAGTCTGCAGCCGCACATGTTTGGACTTTGTAACGGCAGCTCCACCCTGTCAACAGCCTGTTCGTCTGCCCTCAGTGTAAAGTTACAGCATTTCACTGCTGCTCACACTTTAATGCACAGGTCTTAACCACCAAATGCTGTAATGAATAAGATCATGAAATATATACATAAAACTCACAATGGACATATTTCTGCATTAAGCTCTTTTCTGTGTAGAAATTAATAATTCGAGTTTTATGCTCACAAAATGTTTCTTCAGTAAAAGATCTGAATTCTTCAGCAAATTGAAACAAGTATCTGAAAATAAAAATAAAAAAGTCAAACTGATGTTTTTCACATGCTGCACAGCTGCAACTGAAAACCAGCTGCTCTTTTGTTGTTTTATTGATTGATTATTTTTTAACTGCAGCTCTGATACAACAAAGAATCTGACTGGACAGATAATAATAAGTACTAATATAAAATAATAAACTGCTGCTTTTTAACAAGACTGAGTGACTGAGGGTGTTCCACAAGAGACAGACACACACACACACACACACTCACACACACAGACGCATGCACAAACATGCACAAACATGCACATACACAACCTGAAGTGAAAAAGTGCACTCTGAAACTATTCTCTCACAAAAATGAAAGTAAATCTACTTTCTTTCTCTTTACTTTTTTGGAGTGCGCTCTCTCTCTCACTAACACACACACGCACGCACAGCTGAACATGAGACATCCTGGCGCTGATGACAGGGTGTCATGGAAACGCCCCGCGTTTTCCATGGTTACACATCTTTACCCCCCACAGGATACTCTTATTATGATTGTTCAGACTGAACACTTGAAGTACTACAACAGCGTAGCGTTTCCAAATCACAGGCATGTATGCCTGCATGTCCACACACACACATGCACACACACACACACACACACAGACACATATCGTTGCTTATCAGGATCTAAATGGACACAAATTAGCCTATTATGTACTTCTGGGATTAGAGCGATGAAACAGTCTAATGGTCTGTTTTTGTTCTCTTGCTCTGAGTCCATAAAGCATGAGAGATATTTAACAATAATGTTTTTTATGTTTAAATCCATTTTTATGAATGTGGGGTGCACGTTTAGTGGAAAAGACATGAAAGCACTTTCTTTTACCTTTTATTGTTGGTGACTGAATAACTGATCACATGCTGTCATCACTTTCAGGTTTTGACCATTTGGTTTCCTGTAAAACTTGTGTCCCCACATCCTTTTTCATGTATTGCGTGTGTTTATTTGGAAGTGTGTGTGTGGTTGGTCTGTGTTAATGCAAATGCGTAGGAGCCATTATATGTTTGCGCCGTACGCGTGCAGCCGTAATGAAGACAAAGGCACTCAGCGAAGAACGGCTCCCTCACACTTGCTTCTGCTCATTAGGCTGTTAATGCAGCTTCCTGTGCATGTGTCTTCAGGCCTCTGATTAATAATGTTGCATGTTATTGATGAATATCACCATAAGAAATGTGCACTGTTGAGCATAACTTTATTTTTTTGTTTTGTTTTTCCCCCCAGACTCAATTGACCAGCCCACATAGGACCACCCCCCCCAGAGTGAAGAGGAAGGGGGAATCTGATCGTCCATCATCTCGGCACCGTTATAAGGTGGGCTAACATCCCATATCGTTGGCATGGTAACGGCCTGCTGGGTTTAGGTTGAGCAGTTCGCCACAGACAGTTTCTTGATGTTGCCACATTCTTGCAACATCCTCCTGACCTGAGCGCAGAGAACAGTGTGTGTGTTTTGCAAAGCAAATGTTTTATGGAGGTGTTTTTGTATTTGAGGATTTGATTCGGGATCTTTTGGAAGATGGGGTACGAGTGGTGGCGGCAGCAACAAGGAGGAAACAAGGAGGCTTGAGCAAGTGGTTTTCAGGCAGATGAGAAAATGGAGAGTGGGAAGACGGCAGGGAGACAGGAGGAGAAGTCAAATTATTCTTTGTGCTCCACCTGCCACAGAGGCTGAAAGAGAGCATTAATCTTTTACCTGTGTCTGCAGGTGACAACAACAACAACACACACACACACAGACACACAGACAGACAAATGTACCCAGACTTAACCACTCTCTCTCTTTCGTACACGTGCTTCCTCACACATGCTTCTTCTGTGGACGTTCTGCTGTTGCACAGATAGCAGGAACGATTGTGTAAGTACAGTGGCCATTAACATCTGCCAATTACATGTGCTCTTGGGTACTGTAGTACACAGATCATCCACTTTACTTGAAACTTGATTGATAAAGAAAATCAATTAGAAGTGTATTTTAAGCAAAGATGTCTAAAGTATATTATATAAAACAACAATACATTTAAAATGAATATTTGTTATTTCTAGTCTTCTGTGATATTAAACTAAATATCTTTGCATTTTGACTTGTTGGACTCACAAAACAAGCAAATTAAATATATATACTTAAGAAACGGAGATCCCACATTTTGTCAAATTAAGAAAAGAATTGTCAGATAAATCAATAACGCAAACCCACGATCCTTCACCCTAAAATGACTAACTTCAAAAAAGTTGAAATAACTGATGGTGGTTACAACATAAACATGTAGTGTAATGTAATTTCTAGTGGTCTCTGTTATGTATATTCAATATTTTAAATTTTTTGGTGTCCATTCCACTGCATTAGATCAATTTAAATCAGAAGTGTTTGGAGATTGGACGTTGATCAAATCAGACGTGGAAATCTGAGCAGCAGAAACCAGTTGAAGACTCGTGGCTCGAGTCAAAACGAAGCAGCTGCAGCTCTTGTCATGTCACTGGTGTGAGTTTACAAGGCCACACCAGGGCCGTGTGCCTCTGTTTTGTCAACAGAGATTATGAAAGAGCGGCTGGCAGGCGGGCGGCGGGGGAGGCGACAGCGGGGGCTATTTGCATCACCCAGTCTGAGCACACCCGCCCAGCTAACACCGTCACCTTCCCTCTCGTTCCCTCCCTCCATCTTTCCCTTTCTCTCTCCTCCTCCGTCTCGTCGCCACTACCAGAACGTCCAGCCTTCACACCGTCTTAGCTTCCCCGGAAGGAGAAACGCTTGTCAAACAAGCACACAGGAGTTTTAATGCAACCTCAGCTTTTTAATATATGTTCATGCTTTTCACTTACATTTAGAAAACTTCCTGTGTTAACCTTGAATCTGTCTGATACACAAACAAACCCTGAAGGAAACTTCCATCCAGGATATTTCAGGTGATGTTAAGCCTGGTATGAAGCTGTGCAGATTAAGAACAACACAGATTAAATAAAGAAGAAGGTAGTATTTTTTTTTCTTGCTCATATTTTCCTGCGCACTCGTCATCTGCCCCCGGTAACTCTTTCCGACACATTCTTGTTTGTTGCATTGTTTTTTCCCCCCTCTGCTGTGACTCACTGTGTCGTGGGAGGTCTGTCGTCTCTCCACTTTGTTTCCTTTCTTCCCATATCTAATTTTTTGCTCTCAGTCTTTAGCTGCTGTTCATCCATTTTAATGGTGTTCCCCTAGAGTCTGTGAGTTTTAACTCAGCAGCGTTATTGAAGCGCTGCTCATCTTATTGCAAACACTTTTATTGTGTACTCTGAGGCAGAACTGAAAAAAACCCCACACATTTCCACAATTTGACTGAGAGAAAAAGGGAAGTCAGTGCAAAGCCATAATTGTGACAGATGTCAAGAGTTTGGCGTTGTGTGACTTGTATAATCCGTCCATCCATTAGCTGTGCTGCTCATTGTGAGGGAGGGATCGAGCCACTAACAGCTGTCATTGTCAAACTTTCTCCCTCCTGATAATCTTTAACATAAGTTAGTTTAGTTTTCACATTCTACAAAATACATTTGAGACACAAATCCTCCTTTGGACACGGCTCAACAATAAACATAATTCTAATTTGACAACACTGCATATTTAATTATAAGGCTAAACAACACACCATTTACAGTTAAAACACATGGCACACATCTAAACCAAGTTCCAGAATTGGCACATAAGAAGGGACTCATAAAAACTCAACTGACGAAAACAGGTTAAAGTGCAGTGTCTATTTGAAATTGTTGAGCTGGTTATTCCACAGGGAATGAAGGATGTTTTTTTCCGGCCGGTGGGACTTGGTAACGTCTGCCTAATGGAAGGACTGGTGGAGGGGGGTGTGATGGGTCCCCTTTGATCAGGATGGCTTTTCCTGATCACTGACCAGTGTAAGGTTCAGACCTGATTGATATCCATGAAATGAATAGTTAATATTAATTGTTAAATCAATAAACTCTACAACCCTTTTCAGGGTTAATGTTAGAAACAATAAAATCTGTGCAAACTTCATTTTCTTTTGCCAAACTAAAACATTTTGTGATTATTTTACCAAAGAACTGAAGCTAATCCGAAAAACCCAGAGGCTGAAATGTCACATGCCTCCCATTATTCCAAAGAAAGAAAGTGTGATAACACGGATGTCTCTCTGAGCTGTTACAGTTGTGACGCTTAACTGTAAAAGTCATAATGAAGGTGACAGAACACAAACTATTAGATGACTCAAATGAGGATGGTTCATTCTGAAGGGAACATGATTCTGATTTACAAGATTCAAAGAAGTCAGCACACGAGCATTGACCCAACAAGGCTCAGATTTCTGTTCCATTGTCAACACGACACAAGACTGGATTGACCGCAGTCAGATTCAGGAAAAGGCTGCGGCAGCACCAAGGTTAAACATTCACACAGATAAATATCATGCATCCATTAAGATCATCTATCATCTTTCATATTTAAAGAAAATAGAATCAGTTTAATAAATCATGCATAGGTTGGCCGATTCACAGCCATATTGATGTTTGTGTTTGCTGATATCACTATTATTTTACAGAACAAGCAATTCAGAAATCATGTGCATTTATGTTTACATTTTATGTATATAGTTTATTTTCTTATTTAAAGTTCTACATATTTGGTTGTATATGTATTCCATTCAATTTGTATAATGCTAAATCATAATAAAA